ATATACTTCATATTTTTTATGTATAATTTTTTTACACAAGTTTAAATTTAATCAAATTTTAATATGAATAATGAATATCGAATATAGAAAGAGAAATTTATGGCATGTTCTGGAGCTAGTGGATATCCAAAGTAGTCAAATAAATCATGTCGTTGAAGAAAGAAAAAAAAATAGACGAAGATATCACATATGTAAATCCAGCAAAATAAGAAAAAATTTAATTATTGTAAAGAGTCCAACCATTTAAAGATTTATCATTAAAAATAAATTTTAAAAACAAAATGTATAGATGAAAGATCATTCATAAGAGTCATTTTCAAGTTTAATTTACAATTAGAAAACTGTTAAAATTAGAAGAAAAATAGTATATTTTAATTTGTGTCAACATCTTTAAATTTAATATCTAGATATCTGTCAACTTTGGTCTATAAGCAAGTCCCCTGATCCATCCCCTTTCTACTCATAATAATAAATAAGCAGTTGATGCATATGACATATTCATACGTACATGTAATTGAAACTTGAAAGCACTTGATTTAACTCCCACACTGCATCACTTGGATCCAAACAGACTATTAAATAACCAAAAAATTGATCATTAGATAGTGTAATTTTTTTTTAACAACAATAATCAATATTCAAATTCAAACTTAAAGATCTCTTTTCAAATGACAACAAATGATTATTTTCTTTTAACTTTTACCTTTTGTATAATAATTTATATTAAAGTTCGTTGAGAAATTTTATATTAAAAAAAAAAGCTCCTTTGACAAAAATAACTTGGTACTCAAGGGGCTCGAACCCAAACTCCAACTCTCTTATTGCTTTTCAAGGATGAATGATTACTTACCCGTTACCCCCTCCTTGATTATTTAAACGAGCAACTTGATCTGCAGATTCTACACTGAATTCTGCTAAATACCAGCTTCCTCTCAATCCCCGCGTTAATAATTGAACGCTCACATTCTCTCCCGGCTTCTTCTCTCTTTCACACATTTACACAAGTACTGGTAATACCTTTCAATAGAGAGGGAGAAGGAGATAACAGAGGAATCAAGATCCAAAAAAATGGGGTCTCTTCCACCACCATATCGGGAATTCTTTAATAACTCCTCCTCAAAGCAAGATTCAATTGACCCAGATCAGCTTCTTAAGCTCTTCAAAGCCCAGCAGAATTATCTCAATCATTTCTTTCAAAATCTTGATCTTTCTCAAACTCTTAATTTTACCCAAACTCTACTTAATGCCAAAGGTTCCATTTACTTTACTGGTGTGGGGAAATCTGGGTTTGTTTCCCAGAAAATATCACAGACCCTTGTTTCTCTCGGTATTAAATCTGGGTTTTTATCCCCTGTTGATGCCCTTCATGGAGACATTGGCATTTTGGATCCGCAAGATGTTTTGGTTATGTTTAGCAAGAGTGGGAATACGGAAGAATTGTTAAAGCTTGTGCCTTGTGCAAAGGCGAAACGGGTCTTTTTGATTTCGGTTACTTCGGTAAAGCCTAATTCTTTGATGGGTGTGTGTGATCTGAATGTGCATTTGCCTTTAGAGAGAGAATTGTGCCCTTTTGATTTGGCACCTGTGACGTCTACCGCTATTCAGATGGTTTTTGGAGATACGGTGGCGATTGCTTTAATGGCGGCGAGGAATTTGAGCCGGGAGGAGTATGCTGCCAACCACCCTGCTGGGAGGATCGGGAAAAGTTTGATCTTCAAGGTGAGGAAGAGTAATATCATTCCTTTCTTCTGAATGCTCCGTTGTGAAATGTTATCTTTTGTGCTGTATTTATTGTTGTTCTGAAGTAAGATCTAGGAAATATTCGCTAAGCTGAGAAACAGCCTCTCTATCATCATAAGCTAGGAATAAGATCTGCATACACACTACCCTTCCCTCCCCTGCTGTTGAGGCCTTGGAAAAATGATTTGGGAGATGACGGTATTCTTGGTTTTATGTACCTTTATGTGTATGATTTGCTTAGTCCTAGATATTATATTTTCGCAAACGCAAGGTGATCAGTCCAAATCCTGGGTGTTAGATGGTTATTTGTCCAAATCTTGGCTGTTAGAAGGTTATCTTTAAGTATTAATGCTTATGTTATATTAAATTGCAATAGGCAGTAATAGTGTGTTGCAATTGATGCGAGGGCGAGTCTAAGGACTTGTTAAATTCTGGCATCTTTTTTTGTATGAGGTGGATTCTGGTGTCTGTTTGGTTCTTTCATCCTCAATAGAAGATTAGCCCCCCAGAAACTGTTCAAAGAATGCCTAATTGATTTTATCATTGTCACGAAAATTTTGATATACAATGACTATTGATTGGTTAGCTGCCTTAGCTTCCATCCATTTTGTAAGCATTGCATCAATTTTCGTATGTGTTCATCCGGTTGAGCCAAACGGATATCATAACCTGTGGAAACTGCATTACTGCTCAAGTGAGGGGGTAAAAGTTTATGCATCTGAAGTTGAATATTCATCTTACTCCTGAGCTTGCCATCTAACATTGCAGGTTAGAGATGTGATGAAGAAGAAAGAAGATCTTCCAATTTGCAAGGAAGGAGATCTTATTATGGATCAACTTGTAGAGCTGACAAGCAAAGGATGCGGGTGCCTCCTTGTTATTGATGAGGAGTTTCATCTGCTAGGCACATTCACCGATGGTGATTTACGTCGGACATTGAAAGCCAGCGGGGAAGGAATCTTCAAGCTTACAGTTGGAGAAATGTGTAACAGGTAATTTCTTACTTGTATATCTGTTGCATATTTGTGCAATCACTGAAAGACGTTATCAACGAGAAAAAGAAAAGTAGAAAGGAAGAAAGATATATTGCTTCCACGAAAGACACATAATTCCTTTAGGAATAAAAGAATAATTCCTGGACAAGCACATTTTTGTTGTGGTTAAACCTTTCTAGCCTTGTAGTTCATTTTAGTACTTTTGCTGATGTCATGGTACGGAAATAGATCTTAGTGTTCCATTAACCTATGGCGTGTCACTTAATTTTCTTTGGCAGTCAAACTTAGGATCCTGGTGTCATCTTTTCCTTCCAGAATATCAGTGGCATATTGTTCCAATAAGAATGTATGTCTTTTTGCATAAAGATCTGCTATAGCACTAGCTGAAGGTAAGATGTAGTAAATGCTGTCGGTTGATCGACCACTGTTTGTGCAGCGGTTGAAATAAAGTAAACGATTAATCATATGCAAGTGTCAAGTATCAGGGGAGACTCCCATATTTGTCTGATTGTGTTGCTTCAAGTGGGAAAACTGGTCATAGAAATGGCCAATATTACTATTTGGAATTCACAAGTTTGGAGATTAGGCTGACCCTCTCATTTTAAATACCAGGCTTGTCTCAAAGTGTGATTGAAGCTTGCTGCTTGTGACATATGCCCATATCCCTCACATTCGTTCTGCCTTACTGCTGAACCTAAGTCACAGTGCCCGATCCCCTCCACCACCATCACAGAAACGGTTAAGGGTAGAAATTGGTGTTTTGGTTTTATAGAGCCTCTTTTAACCATCATATGGACTAATTTATTTTTGTTACACAAATATTTAGTTTGCTTTATAAAACAGATCATCTAATTTAGTTCTGTCTTTCAAGCCTGACTAGCATGTATCAGGCCCTGGTTTATATTCTCTTGTTAAAACTCTTGCATAAGGCAGGATACGGACTGTTGATCCTCGTAAATTACTGTTACAAACATTGCATAAGTCATTGGATATTTCCTAGGATGTCAATATTCAAGTTCCCTCCCAGTTAGAATTTGAATTTTGTGAGATCACTTTCTTCTTCCTCGTTCAATCCAAGTAGGATGACATCTTTTGACTTACCTGATGTTAAGCAAAGAATTATTCTTTGCTTCTGCCTTTTATGTAGCTTATAAAAAAATAATTCGTTGCTCTTTTGCCTCTAAAGCACATTTTTGATAAGATATCTTCTGGCCCCTGACGGTGTTAATAGTTGCAGCAGTAATGATATCATTATACGTTCTTCCTCTGATATTATATGTTCCCTTTCGTCTGCACTCATCTTTTCACTGAGAATTATGTTGGTATATAATTGATTCTGTTTCCTTCTATCTCTCACTAAGCATGTGATGCACAACTTTGATATGGGTCTATATTGAAAAAGTAAGATGGCAATGTATACACACACATTAGCATAGTTTTTGTTGGATGAAGAGTAATCTAATGACACTTACTCCAGATGTTATGAATAGTGACCCTCCGAGATTAAAACATTTCTATACGCTTACTTGGTGTTTCAGGAAACCAAGGACAATTGGTCCAGATGCTATGGCAGCTGATGCAATGCAGAAGATGGAATCTCCACCATCTCCAGTCCAGTTCTTGCCAGTTATTGATCAAGATAATGTCTTGATTGGTATTGTTACCTTACATGGACTGGTCTCAGCAGGCTTGTGAAGTTCTTGCCATTATCATTAATTCTTTTTGTATATTGTTGGGTTTCTTACCCCATTTTCTTCAGCTAATGTTATTTTATTCCTATAGCAATGATGAATATTAGTCATAAAATATTATAGTCATGTTATTAGACTTATAGATTGGGCTAGAGCTCTGTACCCTTCATCATTTGTGCCTGTTATAATGTACAATGAGGAAGAATGTGATAATGATGATCCTCTATTCATTATATTGTATTTTGAAGTAATGTATTTGGTTTTGTGCAATTAGAGATCTGTAGTAACTCTACATTGCTGAGAGTGGCTTTTCTTTCACATTGTTCGTCAATATCTTTGTGTTGTATTATGCAAATGATGCTTTTAAAGAGACTTGTTGCCAATGTAACAATTACTAATTCAATTGCGAAGAAGTTAGGTGTCGATCATGTCTGTAATTTGTTGAGAAACAAAGGTATGCATTTTTCCCATTATTTGTATTGGGGTTTCGATTAATCCACGCGTTATGATACAAGGGAATGAATATACACGGAGGACCAAATAAAACACTCCCATCCGCTTAAGGACCATATTTATCATTTTTTACATAGAATAAAGTATATTAACATATTTGTCATAAAAAAGACATAGTTATAATCTGATAAAATATCATTTCCATAGAATATTCAGTCCATTTTATTAATAGCCTCAATCAGTTCTGTAACTTCTCCAAAGAAAATGAACGCTCAGTTGAATTTCACACCGGATTTCATTCAAGGTTAGTAAATGTTAAATTCCCCTTCTTCGCCCCTACGGGTTATGTATCTCAATCAATCCGTTCCCGATGTGCTTTTATTTTGTAGAGAACGCCGCCGGAAGTGATTCCGACTCGAACCCCGATGATTCGCCGGAATATTACGAGCCAATCTCTTCCACCGCTGATGACGACGATGTACACATCTCCGATCAGATTCCAGATCATGTTCAGAGCTCGGATGATGAAGAGTGCGACGAATCTAGTAACTTTCATCGCCTCCCTAATGGCTATGTGAATTGTGTAGAAAACGGGATATCATCACTGGATCTAAGTGACGAGGATGGTGAATATAAGAGTGAGGTTGAAGAAGAGGAGGAGAGGATAAGAGCGGCGTCTGATACTGCTGTACGGAGAGCATTCAGAGAGGATGAGAGCCGTCGCAACACTCCATTGACGACGGAGAATGCAAGGAGAGTAATGGAAGCCATGCGTAGGATTTCTTTTGGTGGAGTGGCTCCTGATTGGACCAGCCAAGTTCCGGAGGATCAGTGGATCGATCATCTACAAAGATTGAGAAGTCCACCTGCTACTACCTCGACGAACTGAAACCGATTTGCCTTCGATTAGTAATTGCCTGAGCTTTACTGCTTTAATATTTTTTGTTGTAGCTCAACTTCTGATGTGCTAGCTATTGTTGTTAATTGTTAAAAACTAAGTTGTGGTTGAACCTTTCCAGCCTTCTAAGGTCATGAATATGCTTTAGGATTTTTGCTGGAAATAGATATTTCTTAATCTATGATGGTATTTAATTTACTTTGGCATAAAATACTGGTACTATCTCCCCCCTCTCAATACTGGTGGCATTGTTCTAATATGGAAACATTTGTCTCTTTGCATAAAAATCTGCTATAGCATTAGACGAGGGCAAGATGTTGTGACAGGCCAATGTTTGTGCAGAGATTGATAGAAGGTAAGATGATAAATCTTATGCATCTTGTTCGGCTTTGGAGGCACTGGTGACAATTCCTTGCCTCTATGGTCACCGTATAAATGTGTCAGTTCTCATATATGCAAGTAGTATTGGAGGCTTTTGTCTGATTGTGTTGCTTCAAGTGAGCAAACTGGTGTAGAAATGGCCAGTATTGGTTACTATTTGGAATTCAGAAGTTGGGATTGGGCTGCAATTCTGGCTGTAAGGCAGGAACAATCCCATCAACCTCCCCTCCCTCTCCTTTTTTCTTCCTCCCTTGTTCTTCCACTTAGAAACAGCTAAGGGTAGAAATTGTTTGTTTAGTTTTGTGGAGCCTCTTTCAACAGTCCTCCATAATATGGACTCATTTCTGTTTGTTAAACAAAGATTTGCAGTAATATACTCCTTCATGCATTTACATCCACTCTAATCTAATTTACTTCGGACTTTCAAAACTGACTAGCATGTGGCTTATATTCTCTTGTTAAAATTCTTGGATAAGCTAGGATGCATACTGTTGATCCATGAGGTCTCATGTTCAAATCCCAAGACAAAAGATTCTTCCCATCGCCTTGGTGGACATAGTTACCTGGTACATGTTGCTGGTAGGAGGTGGGAAGTATCCCGTGGAATAAGTCGAAGGGCGCGAAAGTTGACCCAGACACTATTTTTATATTGCTTGTTCAATCGAAGTAGGATGGCATCATTTGACTCACCAGATGAGAAATAAAGAATTATGCTTTGCCTCGGCCTTCAACTTATAGCAAAATAATTCTTTGGTTCGGCCTTTTAAGCTCATTGTTGATAAGATATTTTGTGCCTCCTGCTGGTGCTAATAGTTGTACTTGTAATGATTGTATTACACGTTCTTTTGATCTTCTTAACTTTTATTACTGTCACAGGAGAAGGAATTTGGATTAGGAATATTGTGATGATAGTTCTACCAGAAGTTATAAATAGTTGCCGTCTTATGAGATTAACAGAGCTTTTTAAGAACTTATTTGGTGTTTCAGGGAATAAAGGATGCAATGCAAAAGATGCCATCTCCAGTGCAGGTAGTATCTTGATTGGCATTGTTACCTTACATGGACTGGGTCTCAGCAGGCTTGTGAAGTTTCTTCCCATTGTCACCCACTAGTAAGTTACACGGAACCTCCAGTAAGTTTTTCAAGATAAGTTGTCACATATATATATATTATTAGTACTATTACTACTAATTGAAGAGAAGAGGGCAATCAAAAAGATCATATGAATATAATCATTACAGCTCTCGAGCTTTGCTATGTGTGGACCAAACTTCGTCCAGTAAAAGAAACTAAAAAGCAGTGGCCTAAACTAACTGTTGAATTGCCAAATAAATATGAAAATGAGTTTTGTCGAGTCCTCCTTTCCATTACCAACTGTTTTAACCTTCAACGGATGGGAAGGGTGTGAGCTTAATGTGACGGACTGCCCTATTTTTTCTTCTTCTTCTTCTTTAACCTCAAAATGCTTTAAGAAATGGCGCCAACATTTGTCATGAGTACTTGAGCAACAAGTGCGATCTCCTCTACCATACAACTTCTTGATTACTTCCTGTTCAAGATTAAATTAATGTATATGTTAATGTACCTCTTCACGAATGCGTATGACTAATATTGTATTGTAGGTGCTAAATTTCTCAAGAGTAACTTCTCAATTTGAGGAACCAAGCTTTATTCATGAACTTTAGGAACCAATACAATATGCTGCTCTCTAAAATCTTTGAAGTATCACTTGGAGGTGCTAAATATAGTTGAAATGTCGTACCCTTATATTGGAAAGTTGTTAAATTAGGAGACGCTACTATATCACATTCATATATCTGTGGGAAGATAAGGTCCATTTTCTTAGTGATGAACTCAAAATTTTGATACGCTCTATGTCTGACAAGGCCCAAGTAATAAAATTTCAAGATGGGGAAAATCTGAACAAAAATTTTCAGGATCAAGGCCATGGGGAAATTTCCAAACAATCTAAGTGAAATTCCCGTAACATTTTACAAGCATGAATATCCATGTTAAAAGCAACTTTTTTACTTTCACAACTTCGTGAAACGAAATGGAGAACTTGTAAACTGGGGACTATAACTTGTATGTTGGTAAAAGAACTAAAATCACCACCTACGTTCACATACAACTTCTTCAAATGATCCAACTTAGTTAATACGATAAAGCTTATCCCCCAACAATTCACCAAACTCAGTTCTCTAATATCAGGTCGCTTACTAATAAACTTGGATAGTTTTTCTTCGCTGCCTTCTAATTTCAACTCTCGCAAAGATGAAATTATTCCTTCACCACATAATACATCCTTATTAAGTTCACAATCAGTTAAATGAAGAATAGTAGGACATTTCGACTGGTAAATATAAGGCAAACAGTAATAACAATCTCAATTCTCAAATATACTTCATGGACATCATTTTCGTCCAGCAATTTCATTGAAAAACATAATGCACAAAACTCTTTTTTTTCAGCATTGAACAAGTCATTTTTAAAACCACAGAGAAAAGAAAGGAGTGATTCTCGGAAATCGCTGTTATAATATATAGGATTTTGTCCATGATAAAGGGATGTATTAAACTGGAAAGCCAAGTAAGATGGAATGTTACGATGCCAATTTTTCGAAACAAGGCTGATATTAAGTAAGTCATGAAAACTAAGGTAAGAAAATATCGAATGAAGAAGATGATCCGGTAATTGCAACGTTAGATCTACTGAATTTTTCTGGAATATCTTCAACTGTTTGAGATATGAGGAAGAGTTCATCATCACCATAGTGTCGAAACTGAAACATTAGCACAAAAACCTACTTTACGTTAACGTGGTGTATCAGAACGTTGATGGTTGATCGATGGGTGTGAACAATTACCTGTATGGGTGGGGAACTGGTGGAGCCGGTTTAAGGCAAAAATAGAGGGGAGAGATTTACGAGTCCGAAACTCAAAGGGTAAAAAATATTAACAAAAATTCCAAAACGGTATATAAAATTTTATATAAATCAAAACGGTAAAATCGCTGCCGACGCAGCGATTTACTTCAACTGAAAAAGTGAGGCAGAAAATGATGATTGAAAATGATGAAAATCAATCTAATGAAATGAGACATGCAT